TATACGTTTGGCCAGGTCTTTTATTAATGAAGTCTATGGGTGCACAACAGGGTCTACGTCCTGTGTAGTGGCTGCGTGTGCCAGTAATAGGTGTTTAGCGAAGCGCTCGCTCGCATAATGTGAACACTCTATCTGAGCGTGTCCCAGTTCCTGTAGATGAACAAGCACAAAATGGCGGACAGTTTACAAAAGTGGTCAAAAACTACTTTTCTAGCATATATGCATAAACAATTGAATGGAGAATCAATTAATTTTTCAATTTTACAATGTATAATTAGATTCTTTTATTCTCTTTTTAACAAGACTAGAGATGCACATAAATTTTTAATACGTGCAGGAACTACCCCTTTCAGTATTTGTTTAGAGAGATACACCAACGGAACAGGCCTTCATCACGGGCTAAGAGGAAAAATAACAAAAAATATCGAGTGGTGAGGAGAGTCGCCAAAAATCCATGACCTTTAGACAAGACTCGACGTTGATCCCACATTTGTAAGCCTACATTTACTATCACACAACACACAAAAAGTTAGGCATGGCGTTGACCTGTATATAAAACAGTAACTATATCCCCTAGTAACTACAATTTTTTTGCCTTAGCACTAGCTGGTTGGCTTAGTGTTAGCTCACTTCGTGAATCGGTACTATATAGTAAGTATTGTGCTAATTCTAAGTCATAGAAATAAGATTTCACATAATATTGTACGTCATTTTAGTGACAATAAAACAGTATTATTAATAAATAAATAGTTGGACCGATTTTTTTTTTCACCCATCTCACACACGGCCGTCTGATCCCAAACTAGGCAGAGCCTGTACTATGGCAATCAGACTGCTGATAAACATACTTATATATTTCTAAATACATACATAATATAGATAAATTACACCCAGACACAGAACAAATGATCGTGCTCATCACACAATTATTTGTCCTGGGTGGGAATCGAACCCACGACCTCCGGCTTAGCAGTCAGGGTCACTAACCACTAGACCAACAGGCCCGTCGATTTTGATGAATGATGTTAATTTTTCATCATTTATTTAAATTAAAAGTCAAAACGGTATATCCTGTAAAACACTAATAATATAATGACTTATAACGTCAAATATTATGGAAAAATGATTGAGGGTTGAGTATTTATTGAGTATACCTGTGTATATTTAGCCATAAACAATGAATTTATTTTGTGGGTTTGGTTTGGCAATTTTAAACCTAAGAAACTCAAAAACAATAACGAAAACAGCTTTTCAACCTTTTTTAGGATATTCTGGGCACACAGGTCATCTGACAGAAAGTGACCACAGTCACCAATGTATCTGAGGTGCTAGTACGCTCTTTTCTTAAAGGTTTGAAGGTCGTATCGGTCCGGATATACCGACCGAATATTTTTGTCTGCTTAATTTCGTTTGAAATGTTATAAAAAATTTAACAAGCTTTTATTAGCTTGGTATGTATGTAACGGAATCTTCGAACGTGATTTTGATTTACTTTTAAACGTCGAATTAAGTTGAGACTTCGCACACTTATCAAGGACCGATGACAATTTAATAATTTGATATATTTGGCTGATTATCCTGATCAAGATCTTCAGGATTAACGTCTTTTTCTATACTTTATGCTACGTACTAAGAGGCGTGTGTTGAAGCATATGTGACTTACTTATTTGTTCGTTTTTAGGAACGAAGTTTACACGCTAGACCGAAAAATGTGTAACAAGACTTTCTGCCGACTCTTTTTGCTATTGTACGCACGCATTTCCTTAGATCTTTTAAACAGAGCAATGGATTTTAATGCAGTGTTTAACAGACTTCCAAAACACAAAAGAGGAGGTTGTCAATTCTTATGTATTTTTTTTAATGTTTGTTACGCGATATCTCCGTCCATTGTGAACCGATTTTCAAAATTCTTTTTGTAATCGAAAGGATATGCTCTCGCGGTGGTTCCATTATGACCAAATCAAGATCTGATGATGGGACCCTAGAGAAATCTAGAAAAACCCTCAAATTTTACAGCCTCGACAACGTGTTTTAGCTTATTTCGCTAGCTTCATAAGTATTTCAAAAAGTGTAACTTGAATTAATATAAAAAAAAAAGAAATACTGCATAAATAAAATAAATAAATAATTATAATTGCATAAGTTGATACAAAATGCTATGCAATAGCTTTACCGCGGCAGTCCCCGAGTGCCACACGTCTTTTTTTTAGTTTTTAAACTATAATATTTAACTTTAGGAAGCCAGTCCATTGACTTTTATTATTACTAAAATATTAAGGAATCAATAACCATTTAGAGTGATGTTTGATATTAGAAAAAAAGTCTATGACAATAAATTGAGTATAGTACTGATAGAGGACGCTAACAATTACATGAAAATAACGCTGTACATAACATATTCGAAGAAATCCTATAAAAAGTTGTCCCTCCAGTAATATATTCTAGATAGTTTGTATATTCATAGACTTTTATGTACTTGCAGCTAGGGGAGCACCCTAGGCTTCCCTTTGATCTAAATGAATAGAAATATGTCAAGTGAGATGCGTAGCCATCTTGTTTTTTTCTAGTTTGAATGCAGGGTACCTGGTGTACATAAGGTCTTTACTATGACTTATGTACCCCTTTTTTTTGTTGACGGGGTTTAAAATCCCTTATGATCTCCTGTTCCTCGGGGACTCAGAAGCCAGGAGTATGTGATGATTCTACTAAAAACCACCCCGACGGCCGGCCTCAGGTGGCCTACTCCGGGAGGCCCGGACCATGTTATTTCAGGTTCTCCCCAATTACTTATGTATTTAGTATCATAAATAAGAATAACGCATATTTAATACAAAAGCAATTTGGAGGTAAATCTAAATTTAAGCACGCTTTAAATGATATGATTTAGAGGAGCAAAGACCTAAGTTACCGTAGGCTCCTCCTGTCATACCATCATCATTATCATTTTCACTTTCTCATTCATACTCCTTCTTGATTCTCGTCGATTTCATTTCTGACAAAAATTTCAAATTTAAAACTTTTTTTGTCTGTGTACACCACGCCGTACCTGCACCGAGAGAAATATTCGCTGTAAATAATATTATTGTGGGTGTATTAACTAAGCTGATGTGTATATAATCAATTTATCGCTATTATTCTCGTATCTCCTTCTTTTAATCTTGTACATATATAACTTTTGATAAAAATTCTTAATTTTTTTTTTTTTTTTTTTTTTTTTTTTTCATGTAGATACATACGCAATTCATTACTCCTTATCACTACCGCCGTCCAAGAGTGACAAGTCTGTAGCGGTCCTTTGAGTCAGTGTACCCCTCCTTCCACGATTAGGAGGAAAGAGAGTTTGGGCTCTGGTAACCTTACACACGGTGAAAAACATCGAAAAAATTGCTGAACATTGGTTTAGGCCTATAGGCCTCGCGAAAAACCAATGTTCAGCAATCTTTTAATTATCTAGGCTTATAGCTATCCCACAGTGAAATATTTTGTTTGTAGTTTCAGAACTGTTTAAAAATATTTCTACATAATTTGTTTTATTATTGTAGAGTTAGATGTTTATGACTGCATGCATGGCTTAGTGGTTTAAGCGGTCGCCACGCCGATTTCTACTACGCTGAGTGTTGTGGGTTAGGTCCCTACGTGCGACAACGCTTTGTGTGATCCACAAATTTTTGTTCTGAGTCTAGGTGTTCATTGTGTCCGTTTCATGTATGTTTGTAACGATTTTAATGACCATGGTGATGTGCCTGAGTGCAGACCTTCTCAACATATATGACCGGCTTCTGAATAACTGCATTCGATTTATTTTTACATGTGTGTGTGTGTTTGTGTTTTTGTACATTTTTTTTGTGCAAAATAATAAAATAAAAAGTCGCCTGCGACTCAGAATATATTCCTAATGCGGGAGAACTTTTCTTTTGTATTTTTTTTGTATATATAAGAAATAGAAGGAACTTTTCAACACCCGCCATTACGTAGTGGTATTGAAAAGAATACAAATAAAAATATGGAAAGTTATTGTTTTTGTTTATGCGGATGGACTGCGCTCGAGCAGGCCAAGGTTCGGGGCCCCCTGACAGGCCCATTTTTATATTTAATATCACAACAATGATAATAATATGATGTACGAGGAAGTACGACGACTCTTCCTTTTGTACTGATGAACTTGGTTTAGGGTCTAGTTTAGTTGTGAGTACACTATGTATGTGTTGTTCTTGTGCCACGCTCTTGATAGCTTATTTATTATCATTTGTGTAGTATCATTGTGAAAAAAAATTGTTCGTGTATTATGTGTTAATATAACGGACCACCTGGCACGGGGCTGAGTCTCAACGAATTGTAGCAACGCTACTCTACCGCTTACGACACCCCGCCAGGAACGAAAGTAGTCTACAGACTATCCCGAGTCCCGACATCGAACTTAGTTACATTCAGATCTTCGGAGCCGTAACGCACGCTCGTCTGCGAACAGCGTTGATCTCCGCGATCTAAACTGGCTTCGACGTCACACCTCACGCGGTGAAGCGTGACTAGTAAAGTCACATTGTTTACAGCCTCTCGACTTTCGGGCCTCCATGAATATATCCTTGCCGAATTCGCCTAGGTAAGATTCTCCCTTAGAGGCGTTCAGAGATTATCTCGCGGATGGTAGCTTCGCACCACCGGCCGCTCGGCCGAGTGCAACACCAAATCTCCGACACTGTTGTTATTATGGGATTAAACAGTATTACTATCGCAAC